GCATCCAGACTGCCTCTGTGCCTCCCAGCGTTCCTGCCTGCTACGCGCGGACCCAGGCGGCCGTCTGGTCAGGTACTGTCAGGGCCCGCCGTTGATTTGTGATCTAACGGATCGCAGCGGGGCGCGCACCAGGTCGGGGTGAATCTGAGAGCATTTCCAGGCAGCCCGACTGCCTCCATGCCTCCCGGTGTCCCTGCATGCCCCGCACGTCCCCAGGTGACCGTCTGGTCAGATATTGTCAGAGGCCCGCGTAGCGCAGCGGAGGGCGCCGTTGACACGCGTAGCAGGTCGGACCGACTCTGAGAGCATTTCCACGCAGCAGAGCTGCCTCCGTGCCTGCCAGCGTATCTGACTGGCCCTCGCGACCCCAGAAGGCTTGCTAGACCAGTCCTGTCATGGCCCGCCACTGTGTGTTGTTACGACGGAGCACAGCGGAGCGCAGAGGAGAGCACCGAGGCAGCGCACAGCAGGTCGGAGTGAAACCGAGGCCATATCCACGCAGCCAGACTGCCTCTGTGTCTCCCTGCGATCCTGCCTGCTCCGCGCGGACCCAGGCGACTGTCTGGTCAGGTACTGTCAGGGCCCGCCGTTGATTTGTGATCTAACGGAGCGCAGCGGTGCGCGCCGCAGGTCGGAGTGAAACTGACGGCGTTTCCAGGCAGCCCTACTTCCTTCGTGGCTCACGGTGTCCCTGCATGCCACGCACGTCCCCAGGCGGCCGTCTAGACAGGTTGTGTCAGGGCCCGCCATTGTGTTATGGTCCGACGGAGCGCAGCGGAGCGCGCCATTGCCACGCGTAGCAGGTCGGACTAACTCTGAGAGCATTTCCATGCAGCAAGGTTCCCTCCAGCCTCCCAGCGTACCTGTGTGCCCCTCGTGACTCCAGACGGCTGGCTAGTCCAGTCCTTTCAGGGCCCGCCACTGTGTGTTGTTACGACGGAGCGCACCGGAGCGCAGAGGAGCGCGCTGAGGCAGCGCACAGCAGGTCGGAGTGAATGTGAGGCCATATCCACGCATCCAGACTGCCTCTGTGCCTCCCCGCGTTCCTGCCTGCTCCGCGCGGCCCCAGGTGGCCGTGTGGTCAGGTACTGTCAGGGGCCCGCAGGTCGGAGTGAATCTGANTCTTGACTTGTAAACTATTGCTAACTTCTTGGTCAATGAAGACTGTATCGCTTTGGGTATCAAGCAGCGCATAAACAAGTCTTTCCATACCTGGATTACTGACAGAGGAAACCCACACTGGCACGATCATTGAGGTGCTGGTAGATGGCTCCTTGGTTGTCGCATTCAGAGACAACGTGGTTGCTGTTTCCTCTGCGGTACTTTGATTTGAGACCGACGTGTTTTTGGCTTTAATGTAGCTGTCATCATGGAGAAGTGTAGGATGTCTTCCCTTACAGTTGTCACATGAATGTCTGTTGCGGCAGTCCCTTGCACTATGGCCTGCCCTCAGGCAGCCATAGCAAAGTTTCTTTTCCTTCACGTATTTCCGTTGTTCCTCCAGAACTTTCTCTTTGAACTCAGGACAGCGATGAAGATAATGTTTACTGTCTTGACAAAACAAACATGGTGGTTTTAAACCTGTCTTTAACTGTGCCTGAGTTTCAGTCCCTGTGACTGCTTGGGTGTGATAAACACTGGATTTACACTTCCTTTCTTTTGAACGATGTTTCTCTGAGTTAGTCTCTGATGAGTGGAGCGCGTGGAATGAAGTGATGGGATTACACGCAATCTCGGCCTCTGTTTCAACGAAGAAGACAAGACAAACTCCTGGAAGGTGGGAATCTCTCATGACTTGAGTGACTTTACGGTTCCACTGTGATGCTGCCCAGTCAGGCAGCTTCTGAATCAGTTTCTGATTTTCCTCACAATCATTCAGAATGTCGAGACCTTTAACATAAGGTATGGCTTCCAGACATGCATGTAAGAAATCTGCAAATGCTCTGAGTCCCACAGCATCTCTTGGATGGATCTTCGGCCAGTTTGCTAGTTTCTCCCTGAATGCTCTCTGTATAACAAAAGGCTGACCATACCGTTGGTTAAGATGTTTCCATGCATCTCTGTAGGCTTCTTCATCATTTCTATAAAATATGCCATCAAGTGTCTTTCGAGCTGGACCTGCTACATATTTTTTCAAATAATGCAATTTGTCAGCTGAAGCAATGTTCTTTTTATCTATGAGTGATGTGAAGGACGCCTTCCATTCAATGAACTGGATAGGGTCACCAGTAAATACAGACGGTTCTGGCATTGGGAGCCTGCTCAGAGCTATGCTATCTTGGACTGCTTGAGCCAGATAACTCACATCTGTCCGTACAGGTGATGCTGCAATTGATGCTGCAACATTAGTGGGTTGCTGGATGAAGGTTGAAGACACAGGTTGTTCAGGATTCACATGTTGTTGCTCCCTTGTGCCATGATCAACAGAATGAGCACTAGCTTCCTGCATAACTTCCTGATCATAGGTTGTAAGCCTAGCTCGTGCGGCTCTTATGTCCTTCTCTGCCTTTAGTCTTTCCAACTCACGTTTTTGAGCTTCAAGTTCTCTCCTCTGTTGTTCCTCTAGAAGTTGAATCTTTTCCCTTTGTTTCTCCTCCTCCAATAACACTTCATACTCTGCCTCCTTTGCTGCTAAATCTGCTGCAGCGTCTGCTCTTTTTGCTGCTATGACAGAGTGTTGGCTGGAACCTTTACTGGAGTGTTGACTTGAATATGAGGCTGTGGATCCATAGATGGAGCGTGCATAATCGCTGTTAAGAAGCTCATGAAGTCGTTGCTTTACTGCTTCACTATCAAATTCTCCATCAATGCCTGATAGCCTTTCAAAAGCAATCTTAACAATGTCCCTTGTCACAGACTCACATGCATCAATACGACGTCTTGTCTCACTAGATGGAGTGAGGTGAGCTCTGATTTCCGTATATATGTTTATAACACTGTTCTTTCGTTCTTCTAGTGTGTCTATAAGAGCTGCAATGTCATTTTCGGGAATGTTTAGCTTTAGCTGTGCTCTGGCCTTACGTGCCTGGGTCTTCCATAGTTCATAGATGTGAGTCAACCTTTTCTCCCTTTTGTGAGCCTCCTCCTCATGAAATGCAAACATCTTCTCCGTGGGATTCCGTAGGCGACCAGAGCGACGAAGTTCCTCCTCTTCCTTATCCTTTTCCATTGTTTGTTCGGGGTCTTTGTCGTCTGGAGGTAAGTTTGCTGATGCTTCCATGTTGTGAGCAGGTGCCACAATCCTTGACCATCACATCTAGTCCCTCTGCAGTTGTCCTTGGTCAGCGGCG